TAATTTTTTAGAGGATTTCTTCTGCAGGTACATCAAAGGAAGCATGAGAAATTCTGCACCAAGCCTACAAGGGTGAAGATAAAGTAAAGATGGTTAGGCTTCAAGCACTTAGAGAAGAGTTTGATTTCCTAAAAATGAAGGAGACTAAAAATGTTAAAGAGTACTTTAATAGAGTTGTTTCCATTGTTAATCAACTCAAATTGAATGGAGAACAACTTTCAGATCAAAGAATCATTGAGAAGATTCTTCGAAGTATGACTCGAAAGTATGAGCTTGTGGTTGTAGCCATTGAATAATCAAAGGATTTGAACAGTTTATCTCTTGAAGTTTTGTTAGGCTCGCTTTAGTCTCATGAATTGCGCATTAAGCAATTTGATTCTTCCACTCCAGAACAAGCCTTTCAAACTCAAGACACTAGTCATGGTGGTGTTAGAGGAAGAGGTGGAAGAGGATTTGTTCGAGAACGAGGCTATGGATGAGAAAGAAGATATGGTGTAGGCCAAGTTGAAAATACTTCCAGCAACTCATATGGTGACAATACAACCTTTTCTCAACGAGGACGAGGAAGAGGACGGGGTAGAGGTAATGAAAGAGGAAGAGGAAATTTATATTCAAATGCTCGTTTTCAAGTTCAATGCCACTACTGTCATGGGTATGGACACTTAAATAAAAATTGTTTTAAGAGAATGAATGATGAAGGTGGTTGTGATTCAACTTTTTTGCATAAGAAAGAAGATGAAAGTGTGCTTCTTGCTTGTAATATGCAAGAAACTTCTCATGAAGATGTGTGGTATATTGATATTGGGTGTAGTAACCACATGACTAGAAATAAGGCCTACTTTGTCAATCTTGATGAGGTTGCTCAACGTGAAGTGAAGACAGGTGATGACAAGCGGTAGAATGTTGAAGGTTGTGGTGATATCTTAATTCAAACAAAGAAAGGGATGAAACATTTCTCTAATGTTTATTATGTTCCTAATCTCAAGCACAATTTATTGAGTGTGGGTCAGCTCATATGTAAAGGACATAATGTGATTTTCAAGAAAGAAGAATGTGAAATCAGGAACAAGAATAATGTTCTTGTTGCTCACTCGAAGATGACTCCAAACAAGATGTTTCCTCTCAAGCTGCAAAGAAAAATATTTCCACGTTTTGCAAATATTGTCAGTAATGAATCTTGGCTCTGGCATCTCCGATATAATCGTTTGAGCTTCAACACTTTGTCCAGCATCTACAAAAATCACATGGTGAGAGGCATGCCGAATATACATCGGCAGTATCAAATGTGTGAAGATTGTGTCTTTGGAAAGCATCATCGTGATTCTTTTCCTAGAGGCAAGGCTAGGAAAGCTTGCCAACAGTTGGAGGGAGTGCACTCGGATTTATGCGGGCCTATGAATTCAACCTCTCTAGAGGAAATTCCTACTTTCTCACCTTTATCGATGATTATAGTCGGAAGTTATGGACATATTTTCTCAAAGAAAAATCTGAAACATTTGAGATTTTCAAGAAATTCAAGTCCTTGGTGGAGAAGCAAAGTGGCTATCAATTGAAGACCTTGCGTTCAGATCGTGGAGGTGAATATTTGAGTGGAGAATTTTTAGGGTATCTGAAAGCGAATGACATTCATCATCAATTGACAGTTCGCTCAACCCATCAACAAAATGGGGTGGCGGAAAGGAAGAATCGGATCATTTTGGAGCTCGCTCGAAGTATGTTGAAGACAAAAGGACTTCCAAAAGTGTTTTGGGTAGAAGCCGTTGCTTGTGCACCTATGTTCTCAACCGTGCGGCAACAAAAAGTGTTCAAGGAATGACCCCCTAAGAAGCAAGGAGTGGACACAAGCCATGTGTCTCTCATTTCAGAATCTTTGGCAACGTCTGTTATTCTCATGTGCCAGATCAGATGTAAAAGAGAAGAAAACTTGATGATAAATCTAAAAAGTGCATCTTTGCTGGATATAGTGAGAACTCCAAGGCATATAAGCTATACAATCCACTCACAAAGAAGATCATTATTAGTCGTGATGTTATTTTTGATGAAAAAGTAGCGTGGGATTGGAAAGATTTAACGGGAGTTACTAATATTTCTTTGGATAGTGATTCTTTTCTACCAGTTGAAGAAGAAGAAGTAATTTCACCTCCTCCTATTCCATCATCTTCATCATCCTCAAGTTCACAAGCAACTCTAAGAAAGACAAGGAGTATGGCGGAGATATATGTAGACACAAAAAGAATTTTGGAAGATGATTTTGCAGACTTTGCGCTACTTGCTGATGTTGATCCAGTTACTTCTGAAGATGTTGTGAAAGAAGATAAATGGTGACGGGCGATGGATGTTGAGATCGAAGCCATTGAGAAGAACCAAACTTGGGAGTTGGTTGATTTACCCCAAGGGAAGAAGTCCATCGGAGTCAAATGGGTGTACAAAACCAAAACAAATGCTCAAGGGCAAGTTGAGAAGTACAAAGCACGTTTGGTTGTGAAAGGCTACAAGCAGGAATATGGAGTAGATTATCAAGATGTTTTTGCTCCGGTAGTTCGTCTAGAAACCATTTGATTGGTGTTGGCGTTGTCCGCTCAAAAAAATTGGAAAGTTTATCAAATAGATGTGAAATCAGCCTTCCTAAATGGAGTTTTGGAAGAAGAGGTGTACGTGGATCAGCCTCCTGATTTTAAGAAGAAGAATAAAGAAAATAAAGTGTGCAAATTGAAGAGGGCGTTGTATGGACTAAAACAAGCTCCGAGAACTTGGTATAGTCGTATCGACGATTATTTTTTGAAGAATGGCTTTAAAAGATGTCCATTTGAGCACACTTTCTATATTAAAGAAGGTGATCAAAACAACATACTCGTTGTTACCTTGTATGTTGATGATCTAATAATTACTGGGAGTAACATCCACATGATTGAAGAGTTTAAGAAAATTATGATGCAAGACTTTGAAATGACTGATTTGGGGTTACGTCATTACTCTCTTGGAATCGAAGTCAAGCAAGACAATGGATGTATTTTCATCGATCAAGAAAAGTATGCTAGAAAGTTGATGAAGAAGTTTAGAATGGAGGATGCCGATTCCATTTCAACCCCAATTGAACCTGGTTTGAAGTTAAGCAAAGCTGATGATAGTGATTATGTTGATTCAACTTTGTTCATAAGTCTGGTTGGAAGTTTGATGTATTTAACTGCTACCAGACCAGATATTGCATATGTTGTTAGCTTGATTAGCAGGTTCATGGAGAAACCGAGAAAATCTCATTGGAAGGTTGGAAAGAGAATTTTGAGATACATTTGTGGAACTCTTGATGAGGGGATATTTTATCATAAGGCAAATGATCCTAAACTGGTTGGCTATTGTGATAGTGATTGGACTAGAAACTTTGATGACAACAAGAGCACATCTAGAAATGTTTTCTACATTGGTTCAGGTGCAATTACATGGATGTCCAAGAAGCAACAAGTTGTTGCATTATTAACAGCTGAAACAGAGTACATTTCATTCGCAATGGCTAGTTGTCAAGCTATGTGGATTATGTGGGTACCGGTAGAACTTAATCAACCATTTGAAGAATGTCCAATAATTTATTTTGATAGTAATTCTGCTATTGCTCTTACTGAAAATCTAGTATCATTTCATTCGGGACTTGGTCAAGAAAGGTGAAGTGGTGATCAAGCATTGCAAGACCAAAGATCAGATTGCCGATATTCTTACCAAGCCATTGAAGCTAGAAACTTTCAACAATTTGAAGAAGAAGCTCAACATGGGAAGGTCAAACTTAAAGGGGGGTGTTAGAAATATAAGTTAGACCTTCGTTCAATGAATTTGTTTTTAGTTTGTGTTCAAGAGTTTTCTAGAAATGTATCAGACATAAGTTAAATGTATTGTGATTTCTAAAGTGTCTTGCATTAATTTTTACAGTAATGTTAGATTGACCAAATTTTGAGACCAAATTTAGAGTCCAAATGACATGGCGGTTGACTTAGGCTTCTTTGATTGGTGTCATGTCATTTGAGCACCAATAAAAATTTCAAATAATCAACTGCCATGTTATTTGGACTCCAAATTTGGTCCCAAAATTTGCTCAGTGTAGCATTACTCTAATTTTTATTCTTGGAGGGATGTTCCAAAATGCCTATATGTATGTTGTCATTTGCATGTTGCAGAATATAATATATACAAGAAAAAGTGTTCTCAAAAAATAGTTTGTGTGAATATTTGGAACAAGTTTCTTCCTATACTCCTTCAGTTTTGTGCTTATTGTTATGTAATTGATCCTGTTCTTGTCAATTGGGCTTAGATGCTGAATTTATCAACGCTTGAGTTCTTGTCCCACAAAAACCATGTTCATTGTCAACCTCTTGACCAAAAGTCTCAAAATATTGAAATAATTTGATTTGAGTCGAACCATGCAATCTATTCCTTTTTTTTTTTTATCAGTTTCATTTTTATTGTTTGTTTGTTTGTGATCTAGTGCATAGCAGACTACTTTTTTTTGCTATTGAAAAAAAAAGGTGGGGATAAAAAAAGTATCCAAAGACCACCCGTTAAGGGCCAGTGGTGATATCATGAAACAGGGTCCATGAGTTTGTGATCCAAAACCACCCAATAATCTGAGACACTATTGAACAGTTGTAATGATACCCCGAATCTTCAGAAACATAATATATAAACAATACTGCTCTTAGACCAATTCAATGCCATTAAGTAAAAAATGGCTGCAGCTCTGACCAAGTTTTATCCAGTATTGGAATAAAATAAAACGAAGGTATCTAGAAGCACAGGTGCTAGAATTAAAAATTGATTGTGCTTAGTAGTGTCATACTATTTTATTTATATATGTAGTCCTCTATAACATGGAGAACATACATATACATATTTTATTTATATATGTGTGTATATATATGCATGTATAATTTGAACAGGAAACATACATCCCAGACCTTAGAAAAGAATTCCAGGCATTACAGAATACGTTCTCTCTTTGTCTCTACTTTTTTGTCATGGAGTATCCTCTGGTGTTCTGTTTGTTGATACTGTTGGGTTGTGGACTACTTCATTTTCAGGCTCATAGAAGCTTAGCTTGCTTGGAAGAAGAGAGAATTGGCCTGTTGACTTTGAAAGATGCCTTCAATTACCCAACCGGGTCTTCTCTTCCTTCATGGGGTGCTGAGGAGACAGACCGTTGCAGGTGGGAAAGGATTACTTGTGACAGCATGACCAAGCGAGTGATACAGCTTTCTCTCAATGATACAAGACAAGTGGAGTTCCTCAACGCCTCCTTGTTCCTTCCCTTCCAGGAACTACAAAATTTAAGCTTGGCAGGGAACTTCATCACAGATTTCTCTCTATCTCTGTTCCCCGCCCCCGGGAATACAATAAAAAGCAACTCCATGTGAGCCGCATATTTTTTTTCTTTGAAGTTTGTAGGTGGAGAGCTTACTGGGTTGTACACAAGTAGGCAATGCCCACAATGAGAGGAGAATAAGGTTTTTTTTGGGGTTTGGGTTAGAATATTTACCTAGTTAGGCAAAGGAAAAAGGAGACAGAATTCCTCACACTAATTTAACGTAGTATTTTCTTTTAGATTATGAGCAGAGACTCATAAGTTCGAGTTGCAGAAACTGATTTTCCACATGCAAGGTAAGGTTTCATACATCTGACCTTTTCCACACCTTGCAATGCACGAGCTTCGTTAGGTGAGCTCTTTCAGAAAATTGAGTAATGTGGCCTTAAGAAAAGGTGTTCTTTAATCAAATGGTATTCTGCATCCTCGGTTTTTGGAAAGCTGAACACACAGGAAGCTCAAATGGCAAACCAGAACCTTTAACCTTTAGGTGGTAGAGGTTGCCCAGAGACAAACTGGTGTGGTACTTTTTTTTGTAGCGGGAATTGTAAGCAAACATCAAGGAAGAAATGCATGAATGGGCTTTGATCGACTTTGAAGGGAAAAAAGGAGCCTTTGGTTATTTTTCTTTCTTTTATTATTGTATCACACAGGTTTGCATGGAGTATTCAGATTGAACAAGCTACAAGTTTAAGATTTGAGTTTCAATTGGTTCACAGAAATTCCATCATTGGGTCCACCACAGTCCTTAAAGGTCCTGATTCTTGAATTTAACAAGTTGAAGGGTTTTTCCCATTTTCAAGGTACATCCCAATTCTGGTATTTACTTATACACATCCCAATTCTGGTATTTACTTATACATTACATTGATGCAACACCTTACTTTTTTGTTCTACGCAAAAGCAGAATTAACTATTTTGAATAATCTGGAGTCGTTGAATTTTGATGATAATTATTTGATTGGTGAGATTCCCCCGTCGATTGGTGCTTTGACTTCCCTGAAGGCTTTATCATTCAAGGGCAATAAACTAAATGACTCCTTACCCATGGAAAGTAGTTCAAGAGAGATTTGTACTTATATTGAATTATATATGTTTCCCTTTTAATGTGCTGGTTATAGTGGATCTTGTAGAAAATGGGTGGAATTAGAAATGCACGTGTATTGGAATTAATTGATTGCTCAAATTTTAGCCGCCAGTCAAACTGAATCTCCATAGGCATTCCTTTGATCCATCCAAGTCCTTCCATAACTTACCATTATGTTTCATATCCAACTTACCTTTTAATTTGGAATTACCGTAACTTGATTCTGGCTCAGCTCACATTTTGATTAACCATTGTATGGCCCTTTAAGCACCACATGGGCGGCCCAACCTAATTTGGAGTTTTAGGCAAAAATGTTATAGGAGGTCCTACAAATATTTATTGAGTAATAATAATAATATTACATACTTATTAAAATATGTTTATTTACAAATTATTTGTTTTGTCTTTTAAGATATAACATACTAATTCAAAATTTTAATTCAAAATTTTCAAATAAAAATTGTGTTAATCGAAGTCAAATACAGAGATCAAATACAATGATACATACTATTTGTTAAAGATAAAAGAGAAACATAATTGAAAATTAGGTTGATTAGTAAAATATTTTTTTTTTCTAAATATATAAAAATAAAAATTTATACAAGTTGAGTAGTCCTAAACTAAATGAGATATTGTTAGATATCATTGAAAAAAGAGCTATTTTTAAATAAAAAATTTAGTAAGACAACTATGGTTAATTAATTTGAGATAACTAGTGCACTCATTTTACTCACTTTATTTTATAGTCATCTTGTGCATTGTAAACAAAGTTATTAAAAAATGACCTCAAATGTAACTTATACAAATGTAAAATTATTATTCGTACCTATTATACGATAGACAATTGATTTTAATAATAAAACTGCAAAGTAATAATACATATAATATAAATATCGAGTAAGATAAAAAAATAAGTTGAACTTTAGGGCCCTAAATTTTTTTTAAAGAGGTTCTAAAAGTTTTATAATTATGCTAGTTGCACTTAATTTGAAGATCAAGTACATTAGATAAATAATTAATTTTGTTTAAACTTAGCACTCACTATTAATTCAATGATTAAAATATATTGAGTATTTAAATTATATTATGAAATTTTAATTATATATTATTATTTATTTTAATTTGGAGTCCCAAATTTTTCTTCTAATTTGAGGGCCCTAGGCAATGGCCTAATGGGCGTAAAGGTTGGGCAGCGTTGAAGCACCATAGTCCTGCTTTTAGGGCTATAGGGAGGCCGGTATCTCCACCATAACTTATTACGACAAAAGTCCACTTTTTTAAAATATTTGGGATAGAAGGACATCTCCTAAAAAAAAGACATAAAAACCCTTTTTTATAGGAGGAAGACAAATAGACCATCGGTTTTGAGAATTAGTATCGTTAATTACTTGGCATCCGTTACCAAAGAGTCATTAATGGCAATATCAAAAATTAACCATTTCCTAAACCTTTTTGAATTCCAAAGAATATATCATGTCATTCGTTATCATCAAAACTTCAACATTTGTCCAACAAATATTCATCACCAGTTGAAGCATATCTTCTTCAACACTGAGTTCAAGCTGCTATTGTATGGTTGTCGAATTTTGGTTTTTGTGGATCTATTCGCCGGAAATCTTTGCGGTTCTTTGCCATAAATATTTGTAGTACTTCGCCGGATTATTTGAGTTCCTCTTTTCTAACAGTATGAATTTTTACCATTTACTTTTTTTTTGTTGTTTAATACTTGAAAAATCCCCAAAGTAGAAAGAGATAAGCCCTAATTTGGTTGAAAAAATTAGTATTGTTATATTTTGCTGGATTTTTTTTTGCGAATATTGAGTTTGGATTCAATGAGTCATCTCAAATAGTAAGAAAATCACATATATCAAATTTTTTCTTGCTCAAAAAATCCCTGAAGTAGAAAGAGAAAAGCCTTAATTTGGTTGAAAAAATAATTTTTGATTTATTTTGTCGGATTTTTTTCGAATACTTAGTTTGGATTCAATGGGTCATCTCAAACAGTAACAAAATCACATATTTCAAATTTTTTCTTACTTTAAAAAATATAAAAACATAAATTACACATCCCTAGTTTTAGAGAAAATTTCTTTAAAATTTTTGTTTAATATTAAATACATTTCTTTTGCATGAATTATAAGAATTTCATTATTTGTAGGGATGATGTTACTTTTTGGTGAATCTCTATTAATAATTTTATACTTTTTGACATTGATTTTGGTTTGTCGATAATCGGTCAGTTGACATTTTTTATTGCTTATTGGTGTTAAATTTGCCTATTATTGTTAAATTCAGTTGTTTTCCATGAATTTCAATAGTTTCAAAAACTCTTAGGCATTGTGTTACTGTTCGGCGAATTTCTTTTGAGAATTCGAAGATAATCGATGTACATTTGGATTTTTTTGAAAAGTAGTGATAAATTTTTTTATTGTCTGAAAAATATAAAAACATAAAATACATAACTCTGATTTTAGTGAGAATGATATTAAATTTGCTTGTTAATGTTAAATACATTTGTTGTCCATGAATTATAAGAGTTTCAAAAAAATGTAATGATGTTGTTGTAATGTGTATCTCTTTTTAAAATTTTGAAACTGTTTCAAGTTGATTTTAGTTACGGTGTGGTGTATCTATTTTGAGAATTCCATGAAAATGTTGATTTCGAAACTGTAAACATGATTTTATTTTATGGTGTATCTCTTTTGAGAATTCAAAAATATTTGACATTGATTTTAGTTTCCACGAATTATAAGAGTCTCTGTAGGTATGGTGTTTCTGTATGGTAAATCTATTTTGATAATTCAAATATATTCAATAGTAACAAAATTACATGTATCAAAAATTTTCTTGCTTAAAAAATATAAAAACATAGAATACACAACCCTAATTTTAGTGAAAATTAATTGAAAATTTCTTTTTAATGTTAAATGCAGTTGTTTTAAAATCCTTTATTTTTAATGTTAATTTCTTTTTATTTGTAGGCATGATGTTACTCTTTGGTGAATCTCTATTAAAAATTTGATACTTTTCGACATTGATTTTGGTTGGTGGATAATCAACCCTTTGACATTATTTCGTGCTTATTAGTGTTAAAGTTGCTTATTAATGTTAAATGTAGTTCTGCTAAAAAAAATGTTAAATGCAGTTGTTTTTCATGAATTTTAATAGTTTCAGAAACTCTTAGGCATTGTGTTACTATATGGTGAATATCTTTTGAGAATTCGAAGATATTCAACGTACATTTGAGTTTTTTTTTGAAAAGTAGATATTTAATATTTTTTTCTTGTTTGAAAAATACCGAAAACATAAAATACATAGATCTAATTTTAATGAAAATGATATTAAATTTGCTTCTTAATGTTAAATAGATTTGTTTTCCATTAAAAAATGTAAAGATGTTGTTACTGTAATGTGTATCTCTTTTTGAGATTTTGAAACTGTTTGACTGTGATTTTAGTTGATGTATGGTGTATCTCTTTTGAGAAATCATGTTTACAGTTTCAAAATCAACAGTCTCTTCTTAGAATTCGATAATATTCGATATTGATTTTAGTTGCCATGAATATAAGAGTCTTTAAGTATGATGTTTTTGTATGGTGAATCTAGTTTGATAATTCAAATATATTCAACGTAGGTTTAAGTGTTTTAGATTTTAGGTTTTTCATTAGTTTAAACACTCTCAAAGCTAAAATACATAATCACAAATTTAGTGAGGATGACTTTAATTTTTTTCCTTAAAATTAAATACATTCGTTTTCCATGAATTATATGAGTTTCACAAAACTCTATGCATTGTGTTACTGTATGATGAATCTCTTTTGAGAAGTTGAAGCTCTTTGACGTACAAAATCACATATTTTGTACGTAGTGTTAATGCTTTTGGGATTCAAGACAGTTTCCCTCATCAAATGTTTTTGGTTTTTGAAAATTAGTGTCTTTAAAAATGATCGAATTTGATATTCGATTGAAAATTAGTCATTGAATGGTTTATCGGTGGTTTTCAAACTCGATTTAAAAACACAAATATAATTGAAAATTTATTTTTAATGTTAAATACAATCGTTTTAAAATTCTTTATTTTTAATGTTAATTTCTTTTTGTTTGTGGGCTTGATGTTACTCTTTGGTGAATCTCTATTAAAAATTTGATACTTTTCGACATTAATTTTGGTTGGAGGATAATCGGCCATTTGACAATTTTTTTCTTGCTTATTAGTGTTAAATTTGCTTATTAATGTTAAATGCAGTTGTTTTCCATGAATTTTAATAGTTTCAGAAACTCTTAGGCATTATGTTACTGTATGGTGAATATCTTTTGAGAATTCAAAGATATTCGACATACATTTGAGTTTTTTTGAAAAGTAGCTATTTTATATTTTTTTTCTTGTCTGAAAAATACCGAAAACATAAAATACATAGATCTAAATTTAGTGAGAATGATATTAAATTTGCTTACATTTTGTTTTTTCATGAATTATAAGAGTTCCATAAAAAAATGTAAAGATGTTACTGTAAAGTGTATCTCTTTTTGAGATTTCGAAACTCTTTGACAGTGATTTTAGTTACTGTATGGTGTATCTTTTTTGAGAAATCATGTTTTCAGTTTCAAAATCAATAGTCTCTATTCAGAATTCGAAAATATTCGACATTAATTTTAGTAATGTCTCTGTTGGTATGGTGTT